CAAATTCATAGTTAAAGTTAGAGATTTAAATATAGCACTTTTGATAATGAACAGCTAAAACATCAGTAAGGGTATGGAAGATTAAAAATCATGATTAACTGATCTAAGCTTCCTATGTATGTATATACTAGAGTGAATCTCACCATTATGTTCATCCACAAAACACTAATTTAAAAAAAACTATAAATAAATAGCAGAAAGATCAGTAGAGGGAAGGGAACAGGGTAGAGAGGAGGGGAGGGAAAAGGGGGAAGTATTGGGAACTGAATTAGAACAAATATATTCCATGTTTATATAATCATGTCTAAAATGAGTCCTAATGTTATATATAACTAAAATGAACCAATAAGAACTCTCAACAAGTACTTATGAAAAATGATTAGTAACAATGAACTCATTGAAACATAAAACATTTAACAACATTTTTTGAGGATTTATGTATCTCCTAAAATATTGCTTCTGCTCAATTTTCTCCCTTTCTGAGAATTCAGTATTTATATTCAATCTTTTAGGTGTATTTTACATGTAATTTATGTTCAGTTCTATTTTTTTTCTCTTTTGCTTTGATCTAGCTATTTTCTGTTTAAAATTTGTCATATTGGATAAAAAATAAATTCCAATAATACACTGTTCTTTTGATATATTTGAGAGAATGACTGGAGATTGAACACATGGGCACTTTACCATTAAGCTATATTCCTAGTACTTTCTATTTTTAGTTTGAGACAGGATTTCACTAAATTGCTGAGGTTGTCCTGGAACTGAGGTGATCCTCTTGCCTTACCCACCCGAGTCACTAAAATTATAGGTGTGCATCACTGTGCCTTGTTCAATCTGAGTGTTTTTAATTTTTTTTATTTTTTCCCCTGTTTTTTGTGGTGCTAGGTATCTGAGTTATTTCTTTATTTTTTACTTTGTTAATTTTTATTTTGTGTACTGGGTATTGAGCCTAGGGGTCCCTCATTACTGAGCTGCATCCCTAGCCCTTTTTATTGTATATTTTAAGACAGGCTTTCACTAAATTGCTGGGGCTAGCCTTCAACTTGCAATCCTTCTGCCCTCCTGAATATCTGAGATTACAGGCCCACCATCATGACCAGCTCCTTTGAATTCTTTTCTTTTTCTTTTTTTTTTTTTTTTTTTTGGTACCAGGGATTGAACCAGGGGTTCTTATCCTCAGCCCTTTTTATGTTTCATTTTGAGACATGGTCTTTTTAAGTTACTTAGGACCTCACTAATTACTGAGGATAGCTTTGAACTCAGCTCCTCTGGCCTCAGCCATCTGAGCCGATGGAATTATAGGTATGCACCACTACAACCGGCTTCTTTGAATTTTTTAATCTTATATTCTGCTGTTTAACCCATTTAGTAGGTTTAAACTTTCAAATATCAATTTTTCTTTACTCTTCTATCTCCCTGTCCAAAATTCACATTCTTCTATCTATTATGTCTATCTTTTCCTATATTTTCTTTAACATATCAGTATGGTTATTTTAAAATACTTGTCTAGTAAACTCTTACATCTGGATCATTTATGTGACTGCTTATTTTTCCTCCAGATTATAGGTTGTGTTTTCCTTCAGGTGTAATAACTTATCTTATTAAATGCTAGATGATGTGTATAAAAAATAGAAGATCCAGATGATTTTACCTTCCATCATGTATAGGTGTCAGCTTTTCTCCTGTTAGGTTTGTTTGGTGAGGCACGGATCACCCTTCGACAGAGATGGAACTGCGTTGGAGCTGGGTTATAGTTTTACAAGACTGGGTCTAGCTCTGATTTGTCTCAGTTTCAAAGTCATGTCCTGAATTTTTATTGAGAGTTAGTAGATTTTTTTCACCTTAGCCTTGAAAGTCTATAAGAGATTCAGTTCTCACAAAAGGTTTATTTCTCTGTGCCCCAGTGATGTTCTTCTGTATGGCCCAAGTCTGATTCTCAGCCCTCACCTAGAATCATCAGATGCCTCCAGGGAAGGTATTGATGTGCAATTGTCAATTCACCTTAAAAAGGCTTTTTTTTTTTTTTTTTTCCTTTCTGGATTTTTGTTAATCTAGTCTGGTGGTTCTCAAACATTTTGGTCTTAGGACCATTTTACTCTTAAAATCATTTAGAACTTTAAAGAACATTTTTTGGGGGGGCAGGATTGTTGATATTTACCCTGTTAGAAATTAAAAATGAGAAAATTTTTAAAAATTAATTCCTTTAAAAAAACTATATTAAACCCCTTGCCTTTTAACACAAATAACATATTTTCTGAAAAGACTAAATTAAAGAAAAAACAATGAAAAATGACTCTTTACAAATTTGCAAATCTTTTAAATGTCTGGCTTAATAGACTGTTAGATTCTTACATTAGTGTCTGTATTCGGTCTGTGATTTCAAACATCATATAGCCCCTGGAGAACTCTGCAGTTCAGTTGTGAAAGAAGACGAGTGAAAAAGGTAATGTGTTAGTATTATTATGAAAACAGTGTTGATCTCATGAATTCTCTGAAAGGTGCTAGGGACACTTGGAGGTCCCTGGATTATACTTAGGGAACTGTGGACCTACTCTTAATCACTTCTTCGGCTCTCTGATGTTTTAAAAAATCCGATTTTCATAATTTATGCACCTTTTTTCCAGATGTTGGTTCAGAATTATTCTTCTACCATGACCTGTTGCATTAATCTATTATTCTTCTACTATGAGAAATGCAGAAGTCCTATGAATGGTAGTAATAAAGCCCTGTGGCAGTGGAAGTCTGGTGATAATATTTAAAATATATACATTAGTAGTTATAAACTTGGGCTGCCATATTAAAATGACCTGGGGAGTTTTTAAACAGTTTTGAATGCCCAGGTCAATGCCCAGATAATTAAATGAGAATTTCTAAGTTAGGGGACAGGTATCTGTATTTTAAAAGTTTCCCCATGTGATTAAAGTGTGTGACAATATTGAAAACCATAGGCATAGAATAAAAGAATAGGACTTGTGAACTCTGACTTGACCATCTATTGTCTTCTTTTCCTCAGGCATTTGTTACTTATGTGTTGAACAGTGTGTCTGTCTCTGTCTCTCTGCTTCTGATCATCTTCATTTCCCTATTTAATAGTTATTTCTCTCATTAAACAAACAGGTTTTTTAGCCTGGTGGGCCAGCCTCCCAGGATGATCACATTTTCCTATATTTACTCTCTCTTTTTTTTCTCTTCTCCATCCATTCTTCCCTACTTAGTTCATCCTGTTCCTTTAACTCTTTTATTTTTTTTTATTTATTTAAAGAGAGAGAGAGAAAATTTTAATATTTATTTTTTAGTTTTCTGCTGACACAACATCTTTGTTTGTATGTGGTATTGAGGATTGAACCCAGGCCGCACGCATGCCAGGGGAGCGCGCTACTGCTTGAGCCACATCCCCAGCCCCACTTTAACTCTTTTAAATGTACAAGTTGATCATAAATGTTCAGATTTGGTTTATTAGCCTCTAAGATATCTGTTCTTCATTTTAAATCCATAAAACCAGGAGAGGGGCATTTTATAGTTTTTTTTTCCCCCAAGATCCTAAATCAAATGAAGATTGATGCTTTCACTGGCTCTCACAGGAAGAAAGGTGTCCTGTTCTTTACTAAGACCCTCCTGGCCTGGGTTAGGCTGTGGGATACATGGCCTCAGTGGCTGAAGTTGGAGATTATGAGACTGTTCTCAATCTTGAGCACTCTGGGATTCTGAACAGCTGAAGGTTAGCATCCAGCTGGGAGAGTTGGGGATCACTTTTACTGGTAGCCTGAGTGAGATAGTAAGGAATCCAGTGTATGTAATGTGTGTGTATACTTTCAGGTCTTTCACACTTGTGTGCTTTGTGTCAATCTGCCTTATTGTGTGCCCCTTATAGAGAAAGTCAGTGAGGAGATTTCTACTTATACATTGGTTCCTTCATTTCTGGACCTCTGTTGGCATTACCTAAGTTAGATATGGGAAAACTCATTTTCTTTCCATCTCAGAGTGCTTTTCAAAGACTACCTGCCCTGTTTACAGAGAGATCATGGACTTCCAATGTAGGCTTGAAATGACTTTGGAGAGCTTTAAGACTAATGTACTCCTGGGTTAGGAATCATCTGACATGATTTGTTTACATATCTTCCACAAAAAATAGCCCACTCTCTTCTGAAATCACCCCTTTACAGATGGTTTGGATTTGTATGGAAGAAAGGTTCTACTCCCATAAATTAAGATCTTCTAAGAAAACGCAAGGTTACACAGCCATCAAGTGACAGACCAGGGACCAGAACTAGATTTCAGATTCCCAACTGAATACTTTTTCCCCCTTTTTTATTGGTGCATATTAATTATATAGAAGAGTGGCTTCCACTGAGCATATTTGTATATGCATATAACATAAAATGATTGATTTTACTCCCCAGTACCTCTCCTTACCTTCCTCTACACTAATGGTCTCTCTTCTACATTCATGACATCCTCTTCCTGCCCTACCCCACAACTTCCAGATATGAGAGAAAACAGATAGTACTTGTCTTGAGTCTGACTTTCTGAGTCTGATGGTCTCTAGGTTCACCCATTTTCTGCAAATGACACAATTTCCTAACCAAGTACTTTCCTGCCACGTTGTGCTACTYTGAGGCCCAAGCATAGATCCTAACTCTTAGTAAGGTGATGCCCCAAGTGACCTGTTCCTGAAGAGATTAGGGAAGATACATGATGAGGAGTGTCAGCTAATGTGATAGAAGAGTACCCTAGAGTGGGAGCAAAAAATATCTCTTTGAATTCTGGTTGACCCTATTGACTGTGTGATCTTGAGTAGGTTACTTTCCTTCTCTGAGCTTATTTCCTTATACATGAAATTGAAGAACAATGCTTGCCCTTTCTCCTTCCTGAGCAAGTTGTAAGGCAGATAAAAGCTCTGAATTCTGAAGCATCATAGAGAGGTGTTGGAAAGGATATCAGTAAACAAAGAATCAATAAAAAAAAAAAAAAACAACCCTCACATTCTCTTGTTTGTATAGGTTCGGGAGGCCTTGAGAAAAGCAGAGAAGGAGCTGGAATCACACAGCTCATGGTATGCTCCAGAGGCCCTTCAGAAGTGGCTACAGCTGACACATGAGGTGGAGGTGCAGTACTACAACATCAAGAAGCAAAATGCTGAGAAGCAGCTGCTGGTGGCTAAAGAGGGGGTGAGACCTGCCCTTCTGTGGTCCTCCTTCTGCCCCCTTCTTACCTCCCCACCCTTCTCTGTTTTCCCAGCCCTCTTTCTCTTCTTTGCCTCATCTTATACCTCCCTTTGGGCAAAGAGATATCCTGTGGTGGGTTCTATTTYTTTTCCTGATATACAGCTCCTGATAATGTCCTAAGCTTCTGGAGGAGGGAATAAGGGTGTATGGGTACACCCTCCTGCCTTCTGGGAAAGATGAAGCAAGTGGAAGCAGGTAGAGGGAAAGGTCTCCCAGGCCCAGGCTGTTGTTGGGACAGAGGTTCTCCTTCCTGACAGGGAATCCTTTTGCTTCTTTCCTCTTTTCCTTTATTCCCTCCCACTGCCTTCATTTTCCCTTCCCATCTTTCTCTTCCTTGGGTAGCCCAAGATGTGTTAAGAGAAAGGGAACCCAGTCACAGGAAGCCCTTTCTCATTTCTTTCAACCTCTAATCCTGCTCTCTTTAAGCTGGGGGCCTCATCTTTGCAGGCTGAGAAGATAAAAAAGAAGAGAAACACACTCTTTGGTACCTTCCATGTGGCCCACAGCTCTTCCCTGGATGATGTGGATCATAAAATCCTAACAGCTAAGTAAGTAGCACCAGTTATCAACTCTGGCAATGTCCATACTACCTTTAGAATTTGAGGGCATATAGAGCCTCTAATCCATTTCCTAATGGGGGAGTGACAGCTCTGCTCTCCCACCCTAGGCCTGATTCAGCTCCCACCTTGTTTATAAGTTTATTGGGTTTATAATTCACACACATACCTCCAACTTGTTTCTCTGAAAAGAGGCCTCATTCTTTTTGGGACTCCCATCCAGTCCATGACTATAGTTGTCTTTTATTTGTCTTCAGGCAAGCACTGAGCGAGGTGACAGCAGCACTGAGGGAGCGCCTGCACCGCTGGCAACAGATCGAGATCCTCTGTGGTTTCCAGATTGTTAATAACCCTGGCATGCACTCACTGGTAGCTGCCCTCAATATAGATCCCAGCTGGATGGGCAGTACACGCCCAAACCCCACCCACTTCATCATGACTGACGACGTGGATGACATGGATGAGGAAATTGTGTCACCATTGTCCATGCAGTGTAGGTGACCTCATTGGTGGAGTTTGAGGAAAGGAATCTTTGATACACGCTGAAAAGTCCATGACCTCTGCTGGGCTTAAATAGCACATGGGATGGATAACCAGGGAAACACTTCACCTCACAACCTTGGTTAATAAAGCACAATTCACATCAGGGTTTTTTTTAAATTTTTTTTTTTTTTTAGAGAATTTTAATATTTTTTTTTTTTAGTTTTCGGTGGACACAACATCTTTGTATGTGGTGCTGAGGATCGAACCCAGGCCGCACTCATGGCAGGCAAGCGCGCTACCGCTTGAGCCACATCCCCAGCCCAGGGTTTTTTTTTTTTTTTTTTAATAGTTGTCCTTTTGATGGTTTTTCCTTGCTATTTGCCCTGTTTGTCCTGGGCTGATTGTGTTAAATGTGTTTCTCTTCATTCTTTGTTTTCCTATTTATTCTCCCTCCTCTCCCCAGCTATCTACTTTTATAAAAATAATTTTCTTTAGGGGTTTTGATTCACTATGAAAAATGGCATTCATTTCATTGCATTTATTTATTTTCCTTATTTGTAATTGCTAAAACAGATGAATGGAATGATGTTTCTCTTCTCTTTGCCTTTTTGTGGGAGGCCCCATTAAGCAACAGTCCCTTAAAGTGATATACCTTTAAAGTCTCCCAGCTGGGAAGACATTCTTGACCAGGAGGGACCTCCTACACAAGCATGTCTTGCTTTCCATCTGAGCTCTTGAACCTCCCCATTCTCTGTCCTGGGCCTTCCCTCTCCCTTGCAAGTGATGAGAGTGAGTAGAGCCATGCCAAAAGGAACAACATTCTAGGTGAATTCCTTAGTAAATGATGGGACTTTTCCTTTATTGACCCACCACTGAATTTTCCTTTTGGATGAGAGGTTATTTTAGTTAAAAATAATAGGCCTTATGGTAAAGCTATTGTGGCACCAGTTCTGAGGGAATGGCAGAAAGCCATGGCTTATTTAGGGACTCACTTTCAGAAGGCTAGATCCTTTCCTTGGGCTGGATCCTCACTCTATAAACAAAATTTATTTGTAAATTTCGCAGTAATACTTTGCCCCTAGCCAAGTCTCTTTGTCTCCCTGATCTTATTAGGACTTTAGTGAAAGGGCTACGAAGATTTGGATGACAGACAGGTAGAGCTGGATCCTGCCTTGACAGTTTACATGTTTCTATGTTCTACAGGTTGAGAGGGACCTTAATTAGCTCTGAGCGATTAATCCATGCCCTGTCCCCAGCTTTTCCCATCTCTCATTGATGGGCAGGCTGAAGCCCTCCATAAATCAGATTCTCTTCTCCTTTTGGCCTGGGTGTTGACCCTAGATGCTGCCTGGCTGATGGGGCGTAGGTTCAGTGACCGCTCTCTCTGCTCTACATCCGCCGGCTCGGATGATCAGTCCCTCTGGAAATACCCGGGTTTGAGGAGCCCCTTTGGGGCTTTTGTTTTTTCCAACTTTTGGGACTAAACCAACACTCCTACCCCCATGGACCCCCTTTCCTGCCTGCCTCACATCCCTGCTTGCTCCCTTTGTCCCCTCAGCACCATCCTTACTAACTGCAGGGAGGGGTTCGGGGGTGAGAAGAATCAGCCTGCTCAGCCAAGAGCTGGAGAGAGAATATTCATAGTGATGAAAATCTTTGGCTCTCCCTTCAGCCCAGTGATACAGGTGTCTTAGTTGCCTTTCTTCCAGCTGGGCTAGGAGGGAAAGAGGGAAGGAAAAAACAGGCCTTTTATCTTTTTCAGGTTTCTCACCTCCTTCCTGTTTCTACCTTCTTCCTTCCTCTTCCCCTTCATATTATGGGCTTCCTTTTTCTCTTCAGCCTCTTTCTAATGCCTTGAAGGCCACCAGCCATAGAAGCCCTGCCTTCCAACTCTCTATCACTGTGTAACTGTGCTTTCTCCTAGAGTCCCTTCCAAGGCTTCTGCCACCCTTTTAACCTGGGCCTTTCTCACATCTTCAGGAGAAATCAGGGCAGCTAATCTCTCAAGGTGAAGGAAAAGAGACAAAGGTCTACATTTATTTTTCAGTTTGAGCTGGGATTGAGCCAAAGCTGGATGCTCTGCAGTTACCTCGTGTCCAGCTACCCCTTCACTGGGCATGGTGGTTTTCATCTTCCAAGAGCCTGATTAGCAGAATTGATCCAAGAGATGGATCATAGTTGTTTACATGCATATTAGAGAAATATGTAGAGTAAAAAAGGGTAAATAGTAGTATCGAAAAGGCATTCATAGTCTCACCATAGCTGAGCACTTGTTTTTTTAGTCTTTTATCTGTGAAAATTTTAAAACAGTGAAGGTAATGATAACCACAACCATTTATTGAGTGCTATGACCTATGATAGGTATTTAAAGATATTACTTTGAAGTATCAGAACAACACTGCAGACTTTTACAAATTATTAATTGAAATGAGATGTAACTTGTATAAGATCAAGCTAGAAGTGGAAAGGTCTGGTCTCAAACTCTAGTGTTTTAAAACCAACGTTCAGTGTTATTAAATATACATTTTTTCTTTCTTTTTTTTGGTACCAGGGATTAGATCCAAGGGCACTTAACTACTGAGCCACTCTTTTTTTTTTTTACGTTGTCTATTTTTAAGTCTGGGTCTCACACTAGGTTGCTGATAGCCTTGCTAAGTTGCTGAGGCTGGTTTTGAACCTGTGATCTTCCTATCTCAGGCTCTTGAGTTGCTGAGATTACAGGCATGTGCCACCATGCCTGGCTACATATGCTTATTATTTTTTTTAATCCTTTTTCTTCCCCTGAGCATTTTAACAGGTATTTTTCTGTTTTTAAAATCTCTTTTTTTTTTTTTTTTTGGTACCAGGGATTGAGGATTGAACCTACTTAACCACTTAACCACATCCACAGCCCTTTTTGTGTTTTATTTAGAGACAGGATCTCACTGAGTTGCTTAGCACCTTGCTTTTTGCTGAGGCTGGCTTTGAACTTGCAATCCTCCTGTCTCAGCCTCTTGAGCCGCTGGGATTACAGGCGTGCGCCACCACACCTGGCATGAGTCTCACTTTTAATATCCCTATAGTATATGTATTCTTGTTTTCCCATTGTCCTACCTTTATGTTTACTTTCATACAATTATTAATAGTGATCTGGTGAAAATGTTTGTGTGTAAGTCCTTGTCTAAGTTACAAGTTATTTCCTGAAGTTGGCGTTCTGAAAAGGCTGGTTCTTAGTGCTCTCCCGGACCTTGCTCCAAATTCCTGTTCGACCCTTCCCTGCCTATGTCCTCCCACTAACTGCCTTACCACCTCCCTTTATAGTGACATTGGCCTTAGGTCTCCTTCCATTGGAGTTCCCACTAAAACTRATCTGGGCACTTCATCTTCAATTTCCCATCCTTTTAGGACCCCTGGTGGGAGGTTTTTGGGAGGTGGCACCCCATTCTTTAGATTGGGCATCAAAGACCCAGAGTGATCTCCAGCAGGCATTTCTCTATGGCCACCTGCTTGCCTGCTGCCCAAAGGGAATTGGCCCTTTCTCACACTTTCTCCACTCTCCTTGCAGCCCCCAGCCTGCAGAGCAGTGTCCGACAGCGCCTGACGGAACCACAGCATGGCCTGGGATCTCAGAGGTTGGTAGAGGGCGAGGCTGGCCACTTCTTGACAAGCCGGGTCTCTCTGCGGCGAATGCGCAGCCTTTCATCTGGACAGTCTTTCAGTTCTGAAGGCCACGGGACCAGCCCACCACCTGCCTCTGCTTCTTCTTCCTGTTCCTCTTCCACTACCACCACCACCACCACCACCATCACCACCGTCCATGTCCACCCTATTTATTATCCCCACAGCACTTCCGATTTCCTCCAGATGGATCCCTACCCTGACCCACCCCCTTCTGACAGCACCGCTGTGATGCCTGGGCATTCAGAGAGCTTGGGGTATCAGCTGTCTCTCTTCTCTTTCTTCCTTCCCTTCCTGCTGCTTTTACCTTGGCCTTTGCCTGTTGGCTGCTGCTTGGTCAACTCTGGGGATGTGTGCAGTGGGGAATTTTCTCCTTGTCCTGTTCTTTCCCAGCTGTGGGGCTCCCTTTTAAGATCAGAAATTTCCTACACCTTTCTTCCCTTCTCTGTGTGGGGTTTGCTGATTCTTCCCCATGATCCTATAGCACTTTTGCCTAAACTATGTTCTTCTACATGCATTATAATTCTCAGTGGGGCCCCTGATTCCTTTATTCCTTCAATAAGCATATATCGATGTCTACTCTGTGCCAGGTTCTTCTGGACATGGGGATTCATTTTTAGATGATAAGATACAATTCCAGTTATCATGAACTACAGTCTGGTCCATGAATAATTATGGAACAATCTGATAAGTGCTATGGGGGTGTTGAGGAAGGAGGAGTGACTAACAGTGTGTACCTCAGGGGGAATGCTTCACAAAGGAGATGACATTTGTGCTAACACCCTGTTTACAGGGAAGAGAAAGTATTCTAGGCAGAGGAAACATTATACACAGAGGCTAGAACAATGAAAATCTCAGAAAAGCTATGGATTTTGGCTTTTACCCTTTAGGAGGTAGAGAATGGCAAAAAGAGTTTTAAAACAAAGAGAATGGATCAGATTTGCTTTTAGAAATAACATTTTTAGTGGTTTGTATGCAGGAAGAAAAGGAAGAACTCAGAAGTCATTGTAGTAGACCACTAGGGGAGGTAATCAGGATCTTGGGATGAAAAGAAACAAATAATTTGGTAACTGACTAGAGAGGTAAAGGAAAGAGAGGAATGTAGCATGACACTTTGTTTCAGCTTCAGTGATTGAATGAGTCTTGAATATGTTTGGGGGTTTTGGACAAAAGTTGGGTAGGTATTAAAATACTCGTTTTTCAGAGTAGGAAGTGAAGGTTCTGAAAATGTTCCCCAGGTCCCACAGCTAATTGGGAGCAGAGCATAGACTAGAACTTGGCTTTCCATTTCAGGAGACTCTGTTGGATACATTTATCTTCTCTTCGGTCTCAATAATGAACAGGAAAGGAATTGATGAAAAACTTACTCCTGCAGCCTGGTTTGGCATCTGCAGGAACTTTCCCTGCTAATACCTCAAGAATACCAGGCTAAGGTCAGAGGTAGTATAACCTTGACTTCCTGGAACAAGCTTAGGGGACCCTCAGAAAGTCTTGCTATTTGGAAATATCTCATATTCCTGAAGTGATTTTGGCTTAGTCCTGGATGTTTGTTGCTTTCTTTTGGTCCTACCTCACTCTGGATACTCATCTCTCTAGCTCTAACCCTTAAGACTCTGGAAAGTTATCTATGAGGGATCTTCCTTTTTTTTTTTTTTTGTCACAAAGAGCTGCCCATCTTCACTTTCATCCTCATTTTCATCCAGAAGCCTAGGAAGGGAAACAACTCTAATACAGACGGAGAGGACTGAATTGGGTTGGGGAAGCTAGGGGATGCTGTGAATCTCATGCACCAAGGCCTAAGCTGAGGGCATTGGGGATGAAGGGGTGGGAGAGCTATCTGCATCCACCTGGCCTGTTCACTACTTAATTTTCTTTTGCACCATGCACCAGAGGATCATCTCTAAAGGCAAACAGGCTCTCTAGTAAGGTTAGTAACATGGGATGGGAGTCCAAGGCAGTCTAGCCTTTGGGGAGGGTCATCCTGGCCTGAAGGGTTTCAAAAATGAGGAAGGGAAAGTGAGCCTCCCTCAGTGGGCTTTATATTTATTTGGCAGTCTTAGCTTTTAGAAGCATAGAAGGGTGGGAATCAAGACAAAATGGGACTATGAGCCAGAAGTGGTGAGACTGGGAGACCCCCAACCTTTTGACCTTTTTTCTTTGGTGTTAGAAAACTAGGCTCTAAGGACATTACCTTCTCAGCTTAGAAGATCTCTACTCAGTGTGGTTGCTCCTTAGAATTTCTTTAGCACTTTCCCAATGGATTATATATGTATGGAGAAGGCAGGGTAGGGAGAAGATCATTTGGGGGCTTAGCAAAACAAGGACACATTTAGATAGAAGCAAAGACCAGTGTCAGATATATAAAATCAAATGAGACTAAATATTTGTGAATACTAGATTATGTGGCTAAAACAGTATTTGTAGCATGAAAGCTAGAAATGGAATAATTTTCTGCTGTTCCTTGAGTCTGGAAGATACTACTAGTCCATGGGGTTGCTGCTTGATTCCTTGATAACTAAACCTATGATAGCTATGAGTTAACCCCCTGTTTATCTACTAAAGGGACCTGGTACCCTCCCTAACTTGTAACTATTGGCCTTCTCCTTTTGGGGTTCTATGATGCTYTCCTCTCCCACTCAGATGGATTCCTTCTCCTTTGCCTCTGGGAAAGCAGAAACTGGGTTCAGAATTGGTTGGGAATCCCCATATCTACCCTTTTGTCTATAGAGGCAGAAGCAGTGGCATCTGGAATTGGTTTATGTTCTGCCTTGAAACAGCCAGCCCCTTAAAGGGTCTCAAGCTCCTAGACTAGACTCTGTGTGTGCATGTCCATTGTGCAGTGGCATGTTCCCATAACTCAGCCTTGCAAAGAAAGCCTCTTGTGACTGGCCCYCATATGGACCTTCCAGCTTGACTGGCCTCATCATCTTCATTCCCACAGTACTTTATATATTTTCAAGTGTTTTGCCAGTATTTTTCATCCTCCAAACAATATTTTTAGATGATTAAACTAGTATTTTCTTCATTGGGCCAAAAGTGTGGACCAGCAAGGTTAGATGACTTGTCCAAGATCACACAGAGGAGTCCAGAGCTCTTCTGAACCCCTGCTCCTTAAAGGCCAACATACTGTCTTTTCTATGCCTCTCTATATTCTCCCTGTCAGCAGAGCTCTGAAACAGACCCCACCCTTCCTGCTGCCACCATGCACTTGGTGTTGAACTCTATAACACTTCTCTGTGATCTCCTTTATATCCTGTGAGAAGGTAGGAAGAGACAGCAACTTGGCCTTTTGGTGTGGGTGAAGGATTGTTTGCAAGGCTTTTCTAACTTCTCCTCCCCAGCCTGGGTCAGGACCATTGACTGCATGTGCTGTGTTCCTTGGGGCCTGGCCCAAACTGGATGTTTTCCAGGGCGTGGCAGGAGTAAGTGGGGGAGGAAGGCATGAAAAGTGGTGACTCAGAACAACATGTAGGTTCTATGTTAGTAGAGGACTGAGTCCTAAGAAACCTAGCCAAGGCTGGGTGAAGTGGCACATGCCTGTAATCCCAATGACTCAGGAGGCTGAGGCAGGAGGCCAGCTTCAGTAACTTAGTGAGACCCTATCTCAAGAAATAAAAAGAGCTGGGGATGTAGTTCAGTGGTAGAGCACCCTTGGGTTCAATCCCCAATACTTGGGATAGAGGGAAGAACATTAGCTAGCTATGGCATCCAGAGGAGGATACCTGTGGGTTTTAAGCCTATGGGTGCAATAGTTTGGACCTTTGAATTCAGCAGGGATGGGGCTCAGGTATTTAAAAGCCCTTTGCTTGACAGATGATGGTATAATGACATTTGTTTTTGTTTTGTCCACCTCTTCCCATCACTTTTTCCTTTCTTTCTCCTCCTGGTGGTTCTTATTTCTACCTGCTTCTCTTTTTGCTTTTCTTCCTTTACAATTCTCATCTTTTCCTGTCTCTTCTTCAATCTACTCCATTCCCTATTTCTGCCTCCTTTTGAATCCTGTACTAATGGCTTATTCAACTTCCATTACTCATTCCTCTCTCCTTCCATCTGCCTATTCATCCTAATTCTCTCTCCTGCCTCCATTTTCCTACCCTGTTCTTGTCTTCTCATGTTGTCCCTTTCTCTTCTTCACTTTTTCCCATCTCCCTATCCTATATATGTCCTTTTCTTCCTCTCGTCCCATTTCTTGCAGGGATTTGACCCATTCCGATTCGGAGTCCTCCCTCCACACGAGTGACCGCCAGCGTATGGCCCCCAAGCCTCTTCAAATGGGCCGTGCTGCAGATGAGGCTGTCAATGTGATGACTTCCAATGGTAGCCACCGGCTGATTGAGGGGGTTCACCCAGGATGCCTGGTGGAGAAACTGCCTGACAGCCCTGCCCTGGCCAAGAAGGCATTACTGGCGCTGAACCATGGGCTGGACAAGGCCCATAGCCTGATGGAGCTGAGCCCCTCAGCCCCATCTGGTGGCTCCCCACCTTTGGATTCTTCCAGTTCTCATGGCCCGAGTTCCCCAGACCCAGACACACCATCTCCAGTTGGGGACAGCCGAGCCCTGCAGGCCAGCCGAAACACACGCATTCCCCACTTGGCTGGCAAGAAGGCTGTGGCTGAGGAGGATAATGGTTCTATTGGTGAGGAGACAGACTCCAGTCCAGGCAGGAAGAAGTTTCCCCTAAAAATTTTTAAGAAGCCTCTTAAGAAATAGGCAGGATGGGGGTGGCAGTTGTGAGACAGCTTGTCCTTCCCTGGGTCTTCTGCCTTCCCTTCCTTCGAAATATCTGGCCCCTAGATTGGGGCATTGAAGGTCTGGCCCAGGGGCCTGGGTACTGTACATACCTGCTGCCTCCATCCTCAGTCCTTCATCATTATTTATTAACTGACCACCGAAGCCTGCCTGCCCTGCTTCCCTCCCAACCGTGGGCTGCTGCTGTCACTCCCTCTCCACTTCAGTGCATGTCTTAGTTGCTGTTCCTTCAGCTCCCATCTCCTCTGGGGTCCAGCTTCTGTCTGCTGTCCCATTTTTGAGGTTTGGTTTTTTGTTTCTCTGTCTCCTGCTTTCAGGCTCCTCCCTCCCACCATATCCCAACTTCCCCTAGCAGTTGTGGGGAAAACAGGAGGAATAACTTCTGACACTCGTGCCTCATATCTCTTTACCCATGTATAGTGGTTCTGTTGGCCCCTGACTGGGGCCAAGGGCCTAATATGTGACATTTGTTCTTTGGGAGTATGGTGGGCTGAAGAGAACCTCATGCTGGAGTTCACTCAGGTCTCTAGGGATCCATAGGGGAGTGAACAAATTCCCAGAGAATAAGTCACCAGAGTTTTGAAGAGAGGCCAGGCTAAGGATGGACTGGGAGAGACCTCTCTTAGTTGGAGGAAGAGTGAATGCCAGAGCCATGGGCTATAAGGCAGTCACCTTTTCTCTCTTGTTGCATCCACATCTGCCTCCCTTTATCCCGCTCCCCCATACTGTAGGAGTGTTCGTCTCTAAGAGGTGCTGCCTCAAAGCATCCCCAAGTATACTCCTTGGGCTTAAAACAATTGGCTTCCCTGGTTATGGGAACCACAGTTGTAACAGAGGGTTTTTGTGGAGCCCTGGAGCTGTTGGACAAGGATGTTGCTGTATTTGAACCAAAAAGACAAAACAGTTTAAAACAAATCTCCTGAATTTCCCAAGTGCCTGCACAGCATACTCCCACTTAGACCCCATTTTCATATTACTGCATAGCCTGGGCCAAAATGGACACAACCAATTTGGGGAAGGGATGGCAAAGGGAGATGGTATATGTGAAGGCTGTTGTGTGACCACTTCCCCCCAACCTTTCCATCTTCTAGACAACTCTCTCTTTTACCTGTTTTTGCTATGGCTGTAAAAGTATTTTTCCCCTATGCCCCATTCTGCCATGCCTTTATCCTGGGATCCTATTTTGGGCCTGGGGTGGGTGCACCTAGGGCTGGTCTTAGGAGGGTGCTAGGCTGCAGACTGCCTTGTATCCCCTGGACACCCTCACATGGGTTTTTCTGTGTTATTTCATAAGACTCTTTGAAGTCCAATAAAGCATGTAGGAGATTTTAACCTCTGTTGGTTTTGACTCTCATTGTGTCTTTGTGGTTTAACAGACAAGAGATGAAGAGATTATTTTACCCTGGGAAAATGAAACGCAAAAACACATACCTGAAAGCAATCTGCATAGTTATGTACTAAATAGTTAATTTTAACTTCAGATAAAAAGTAACTTTTTGGAACAATTATGTCCTATGCAATATTTGGGGCACAGTTTTATTTCTTAAACCTTGCCAATCCTATTTCTAGGCTGTCATGATCCTATAGCTTCACCAATGACGACCTATGATTTGGAAGTACTTTATGGAGAGCAGTGAGGAACGAATGAGAGGTCGTGAAAGCTTTAAGGGGAAGGATGTCACAGACATATTTCATAAAGATGAGTTTGTGTAGCCTAAAACAGAAGCTTTTATATCAGCCTTGTATAGTAAGACTTTCAGGTCTTCTTACCATCCATGTTCAGGCCCAACGCCATCCAATGTTCACAAGGCAACAACTGCTTTATTACTCGCCCTCTCTTTGCCACTGTCCACTTGAGACCTCAAAAAGCAAATGGGTCATGGCTTTGCTTAAAAATCTCACAGGGATCCCAATTCCTAGCATGGCTTTCCTCCAATTCTTGAGTGTCCAGCTTCTCGCCGACCTGAGACCCTTGACGCTCCTGGCTGTCTGGCCACGGATGCTAAGCTTCAGCCCACGGCGGTTTGGGGGACTATCCTAACAGTCGAAATAAGAAAAAGTGTTCTGGATGGTTGGGGTTTTGTTGAGATTTCAAAAATACTTACACTGCGTGATTAGGCGGGGCTCGCGGGAAAGAGAAGTGGGGCCAAGTCTGGCGGGCTTTGCGTTCTACGTCAGACCCCAGGGCCTCGGACTCCGCTTTGCCCACACTCAACATGGCGGCGGGAGAACTGCGTTCCCGCCAGGCCTCCCTCCGCTAAGTGGCCGTGGGAGGGGAAACGTCTCCTGTTGCCCATGATCAACATGGCGGCTGCAGGGCGAAACTGACTTCCTGGAGTCAATTTCTGCCAATTCGATTCTGGACTTGGGCAGTGTCGACGACGTCATACAAGCTGCGTCGCGCCGCTTTGCGCGTCATTGGTGGCGGGAGCGGGAAGGAGTTCGGATTTTTGCGCCTCTGCACTGGTGGGGAAAGTGCTGTCTGCGCCCAAGTTCTACTCTCGGTGCCTGAGCAGCTTCTTGGAGCCAACCCTTCACACTCTGCCACTGTCTCGATCCTGCTGGCGTCTTGGAGCTGCTGCCCCGTCTCGGATCCCTCACCACTCCTGCCACTAGCTGCAATGCATGTGATCAAGCGAGGTGAGTGAGGGGTCCGGGGAGGACGCGGGTGGGTGAGGAGGAAGATTGGGGACGTGGGCTGCTGCTCCCCAAGCACTTACCCCTCCCGCCTGCGGGCCGCCCGGCCGGCGGCTGCCGCTTCCCGCCCTTCCCGCCGCGGCTTCCCGCCCTGTCATCCAACACGGCCTCTGTTTCCCGGCCTCCGTCCTCCTTCTGGGCTTCGGTCTGCACTCCCTCAATTTTGTCATCATTAACTTCTTCCAAAAGAAGTTAAAACGCGCCAGCGTTTTATAGGCATTTTGTTCTTCCTTACCATAGCGTATGAGATAGCAATCATTGGCTCCACACAGATGAAGAAACTCAAGTTCAGAGAGGTTTGGTGACCGACCCAGTGTCCCCCAGTTAGTTCATGGCGAAGTCAGGGTTCGGACCCATACCTGACAACACAGTTTTACTTGAAAATGAAAATATGAGGTTGGTGACCTGCCCTAAGCACAGGAGAAAACGAGGAAAGAATGGACTTTGACCTCTAAACGGGCACCTGTCATTTTCCTTGTCACTTTTGTGGTAAGAGGGTGGACGTGTGGGGTAAAAAACAGACTCCAGACATAGGCATCCCTCTAGAGTTTGTCCTTTGAGACATAGTGTTGCCCTGTGTCCCAGTAGCAGTCCCAGAGGAGAGTTTGTGGCAGAGACTGTCTTCCCTATGAAGGGAAGAGACAGCAGATCAAAGAAAGGGGGCCAAGGCTTCTTCTGACATAATGAAAGAACCCAGGAGGGATTTGCATTCTTTTCCAACAGTTATTTCCTGTTAGATTTGCTGTATTCCTTCTTTGTGCCCAGCTGTTTGCTAAGCAGGTAATCTCTGCCTCAGGAAAGATTGGAAAAAACAAAACAACACATAACTTAAAACAGAGAGCCATATGAGAGGTAGGAACAGATTTTTGAGGTCAGTCTACTTGCCTTTTAAAATATCAAAGTTATTTAGAAATTGTAGGAATTTATTAAATACTAGTTGATTGGGTGTTTCTGTTTTGTCTTCTAGACTGTGAGCATTTCAAAGATGGGGACTGCTCACATTTAACACGGGACCTGCCATGAATAGGTGCTCACAGAATAAATGGGAATGATTATGTAAAAATGTAGGATGCAATGATTGCTGTGGGTAGGCAGTTGATTTTCCTGTGTCCAGATTACTTTAACTACAGCAGAGAGATGGAGAGGTGGACAATGGTGGCCCATCTTCCTGTGTTTAGTATCTTGATACATCAGTTTTTGAACTTCTTCAGGCCCCCATTTTAGCTCATGAAACCAGGCACCAAAATACAATAATGTAATTATTTTATTTATTTATTTATTTATTTGTTAGTGGTACTGGGAATTTAACCCAAGCATGCTGTACCTCTGAGCTACACACCCCAGGCCTTTTTTATTTTTAAGACAGGGTATCACTGAGTTGCTGGCCTCAAACTTGTGATCTTTCTTTCTCAGCTTCCTGAGTCACTGGGATTATCCAGTGTATACCACTACATCCAGCATTAGTGCACTGTTTTTGGTCTGTGCCTGCGGTTGAGAGATGAACATAGTTTTTAAACCTTTAGAAAGAAATATTTGAGTTTGGTCTTAAGATAAGTCAGTAACAAAGATAAATTGAGAATTTAAGGACTTAGATGACCAGAGTAGGTAATAACTGTGATTTAATAAATCTTTAATAAAGGCTGAATTTTTAACCTTTTAACTCTACCTTAAAATACTATAGTTTACAAGGGATTCTACAGTAAGCACCTTAAAAGACAGGACTTATTTTGTTTCTCATTCCCTTAGAGAACAGTTTAATCTGGATGACCCATGCTCTATCTAGACTCAGCCATTTTAAAATTCAGTAAGCCTTTTAAAAAAAAATTTTTTTTTTAGCTGTAGATGGACACAATTCCTTTATTTGTTTATTTTTATGCGGTGCCTCACTTGTGCTAGGCAGGCAGTCTGCCACTGAGTAAAAGTTTTTAATATTTGAAATGTACTGAGATTTTATTATTTTATTATTTATTTATTGTGGTCCTGTGGATTGAACTCAAGGCTTTGGGCAGAGGAGACCAGTGGTCTGCTAYTGAGGTACACCCCCAGCCCTATTTTCTATTTTTTAGTGTGCATAGGTTTTGTCAGTTTGTTTTTTCACCTCTCTTATTTTTGGCATGCCAGTGAAGTCACAGACTAACTCTTACAGTTTTTGTTAATTTTAATGTAATTATTCAGAGGACAGCTAGCAGTTGTTGTCTGCCCAAACACTATGAGGGAAATGATAAAGGGAAGAAGCAGCTCTATCTTAAAAAACTTCAAGTTGTAAGAGATTTAGGAATAATCCATAGGAAAATTGTTAGATAACAGAAGGAATATTAGATGAGTTTTTCTCATATGTTATCTGGAGCTTTTTTTCCCTAATGAGAAATTAAGATTAAAAAATAAAAGTTGAGAGCCATTGCAATAAATGACAGAGTAGCAATTGAGTTATAAACTGTGCTTTGAAATTTAATGTAGTGTTTTCAAAACTTTGGATTGTAACCCACAGTAAAAAAAAAACTCATTTTACAGCTGGGCATGCTGGCACATGCCTTTAAACCCAGTGACTCAAGAGGCAGAGGCAGGAAGATCACAAGTTCAAAGCAAGCCTCAGCAACTTATTGAGGACCTAAGCAATTTAGTGAGACCCTGTCTCAAAATAAAAAGGGCTGAGGATGTGGCTCAGTGGTAAAATAAATCCCTAGTATAAAAAATACGTTTCCCATAAATGAATATGTACAGTGTTTTTATATGTATATAAAACTGAAACAAGTTGATAAACTAATAAAATAAAAAGAGCTGGGGATGTGGCTCAGTGGTAAAACACCCCTGAGTTCAATCCTCAGTATGGGTTGGGGGCGGAGATAATTCTGGCTACTATATAGGATAAAAGGGGAACGTCATTTGGAAAGTTAATGCAAGAATCCATCAGCATAATGTAAGGAAAGGAAAGACTTTCCGAATAGAATATTTGCATTTTGAAGATGATCCCCCAAAAAGCAAAGGCAATCTCAATGAAYGTCTGAGTGGTTTGAATCCTTTCATTTGTGAAATAGCATTTCATGTTGGCTAATTTTTGAAGTTCACATATTAATTACATTTGATTCTTTGACATTGCCATTGTAATAAGTTCTAACATGACTTATGGTTTGGTTCTTCAGATGGCCGCCAAGAGCGAGTCATGTTCGACAAAATTACGTCTCGAATCCAGAAGCTTTGTTATGGACTCAATATGGACTTTGTTGATCCTGTAAGTATATAAAGTTTATATCTTGGGATCCTTGATTCATGTAATTCTTTCTACTTGTCTTTTATCTCTGGCYCTTCAATTACCTGATGTACTTTGGCTATTCTGGCTATTCCTTTGGATATAAAATGTGAATTTATTGCTTAAAACTTTTTTTTTCCCCTTAATTTTGGTCCTGTCCTGTGAGTTCTTAAGTTTTCAGAGAACTATGAGTGTGAATGAATAAAGGGGAAAACATGATGTTAACATTTATGATCATGGATTTTCTTGAGTACATTACTTTTTTTTAGAGTGGCAAGATCTGTGGTAAAGCTTGTTTTTATTTATTTATTTATTCATTCATTTATTTACTTTGATTCAGAGTCTTGATAAATTGTTGGGCCTCGCTAAGGTGTTGAGGCTG